TACATATACACACACACATATATATATGTACATATACACACACACACATATATACACACACACACATATATACACACACACACACATAATGTTCAGGAAAGATAGCCAAACAGTGGTTCTGTTTTCTATATATATATATGACTCATTTGGTGGCTTTCTCAAATGTGCATTTTAGAAAATATCCTTAATAAATACTCTTGCTGTGTCCTTAGGAAAATTAGCTTTTTTCTTCTATGGAACTGAGCTGAGAAAGACTGCAAGAGACATACAGCTTTTATCACTTTATATCTGGATTCCAGCTGGACAGCTGCTAGAGATGAAAAAATTTTGAAGGACTATAAGAATTAATTTAGAAAGCTGTCATATTTCACACAACCTTTTCAAGAAAGTTTAGTGACTCTTAGCTTGATAGCTCTGTAAAACAAAATTATGATAATTCCATAGGGAGTATTCCATTGTAAAGAAACTTACCTAGGATGGTAACTTACGAGTTGAAGACTTAGGCTTAATGCTCTGGTGTGTGACATTTGGAGCTATTAGTCAGTTCTTATTTTTATTCGGTAAATGAATTTTAAAGAAACAGTTGAATTAAAAAGGAGGCCATTCATGATACTGTTGTGTAACATGATAAAAAATGTTGTATAAAACTCTTCATTCCTTGTTAGGCACTACCTGTCCCAACCCATATCCTCACCCCCTTCCTTAACTTTCATACACCTATACATGCCCCCCTCAACAGTCTCCTCAACCCTGAATTGACCAAGTAATGCACCAAAAGGCAGATTATGCTTTGACAAGCAGGAAATTGGACTATTCTTTCAGACTTTTCTGAGGTAGTGAGTCTTTCCTCCTCTGCTCTAATGGTTAAGAAATGTCTTGGAAGCTGAGTTAAGAGGCAAGTGGAGTGTTGGTCACAGTACTTAACACTACTCTGAGATGGTGGTTTACATGATCAGATGATTACCACATACTTCAAAAGTTTCTTCAGTAGAATCCTGTTATGTGGAGAACTTAAAGATATCAAGGTTGCTATGATGAGGATAAGCCACAGTCTCTAAAAAAGTGCCTAGGTGCTCAATAATATTTGATGACTGACTGACTGTTTAAGATCTCTGATTTTAGCTCAGCGAGATTACAAGCAAAAACAAACATTAAAAAAACCTAACCAACTGCAGATAGTATCATCAAAGGCTACTTTGATGATCACTTTCCCTTGTGCAAGGAATTCTGGACATCTTTTAAAGTCTGGGACAACTGAGTTTAAACAGTACGTATTGGGCATAGTATGGTATTCAATTCCATACTGACTCCATTTATCAGGTACCCTCTTATTTCCATCCTGATTTTACTATCGTGATGTGGTTGTGAGATTTCTATCCATAAATAACTTTTCTGAGGACAAAGTGATCCAGTCTCTCTGTTGTTCCTCTAGCTTTTCTGCCAAGCATTTAATCAAGATAGGGTCCACCTTAGAATCAAATTTATTAGCAAACCAATGTCCATCTTTGATAAGCCACCTTAATTCTGCAGCTCCATAAATACACACGCTTCGAAGGTGAGATCCGGTACAACTAGGATACAAAAAGCCTTCATAGTAATTCCACTTGACAAGGCGGGTCTTACTCTGCAGATCAGACACATCCTGGGCTGATCTGGAAATCTCCCCAGGTATTCCTGGAACCCGAATCAGGGTAGCCCAAAAGTGCTCATCAGGAGAGTATGTGTCCTTAGACCAGGCAAAAAAGTCTTGAATGATGGAGTTATTGAAGATATATTTGACAAATGCTTGACTTAAAACAAAATAAGCACTGCCAACAAATATCTGAATGTCATGGGGGGGTGCTTCCTTGGAGATGTTTGTCCGTATTGGTAGCTTCACATATTCATAAGGCACCCGTTTGAGTTCATGATGGTAAGTGAATCTTTCCAATTTACTGTTAGGGGGTTTCACTGTCTCCAACATATTTGCTCCATTGAGTTTTTTCAACTCTGACACTAATTCAAAATTTGACTTCAGGGGAAAATCTTGCCCACAGAGGTTGATAACGTATTTCCATTGGACCGAAGACTTCAGAAGGTCTGACAAGCAATTTAAATCAGCTTGGAGTCTGGAAATGTGGGCATATTCCACAGCCTCTAATTTGGAAGCAATGAAAATATTGGAGAAGCACTTAGCTAAATTGTTCATGGCAACTTTGAAGGTATCAGGTGCCTTACGATCATAATGGATGCAGTAAATATTGTGCTGGTTGTATATAGCGTGAATAAGCCTTTCAACCATAATTGCATCTTTGTGGACAACCAGAGAATAGGCTACTGGGAAGCTTTTCTCCTCCTTTGAAACGAGTTTTTGAGCATAACCTCTTAGGGTCTGATAAATGTCACAATCACTGGTCATTGCCACAACATCATCATCCTCCAAGTCAATGATGTCTCTTCTTCTTATTTCCAGACTCTTGCCAATTTCCAAAGGCTCCTGTTCATAGATACCCGAACAGTTAACTTCATACCTGACTTCATCCTTAACATGAGTGTATCTGTTTCTTACAAAAGGTGACGTACTCAGCGAGTACTCAACCAAGTAAATGTCTCTTTGTGGAAAGAGTCGTCTCACATTTAGAAGCTTTAACAAGGAGAACAGCCATAGGGTTAAAAACAGGATGAAAACTTTCTGCTGTAGGGTATGTTTAAAACAACATTTGAATATCTTCATTCTGTAAGAAGAGAAAGAAATAATCCAGTTGGAATATTAAGAGAGAATCAGGTTAGTTTGTCCAAAATCTATTGAGCGCCTACCACATACTACACAGAACGCTGGCCCCAAAGACGAATGAAACAAGGTTTCTATCCTTGAAAGAGTCCAGAAATAAGGAAATGGAATTATGAAGAATGGTGGTATTTTGGAGTATTCTGCGTTTAACTATACCTAATTTTGAGAGATGTTGGTTTCCAAATAGAATGGAAGGTAATGTAAACTCCTAAAATATAAATATAGCATGTCTTATATTGTCTGCATTTCTGCTTAGCATATTTGAGGAGGGATTGCTCTGGTTTGGGCAGAGATCTAGAGAACTGGATGTCATCAAGAGAGCCTCAAAGATGCAAAGGACTCGCCTGAGGCCAAAGGGAACATCTGTCTTGATTCTACCTCCAGATCCTGATTAGATCAACATCTGAAGTCAAACAAGGAAAGCCCAGTTAAACCCACCTTTAGAAAGAAGAGTGGTGGGCAGATACGCAAAGGAGCTATAGTATAAGCATTAGAGATTATAAAATGTATAGCTAACAAAATTGGGTAAACCTGCATATTTTCCTTATTTTTAATTTTGTTAATGCTCATTTTCACACAGGGATTAGCAATTTAGCCCTTAAAATAAAAACGGCCTGATTCTTACTGAGAGTAGTAGGTGGGGGTATAATAACTACCTTGGGGGCAATTTGGAAATAGCTGTCAGTTTTAAATGTACCCACCCTGAAGATGCACTGTGTGCTTCCCTATAGCGTTTTGTATTCAACAAGGAGGTTCCCTATGTGCTTTGTATACAGTGCTTTGTATTCAGGCAAGACAGGAAATATCTCAAACATCCTTAAACAGTGCATTGATTAACTTACATTACATGTAATCTAATTACATCCATGCTATAATATGAGAAAAGGTCTGAGACCAATCTGCATGTACATGCCAATGGGGAATAATCTCTAAGATATACCGTGAAATAAAAACAAGCAAAACGTAGAAGCATGTATAGTATGCTTATGTATCTATACATGCAAAGATCATACGCTACCAAACTTTTTATTTTTTATTTTTTTGAGATAAGGTCTTGCTCTGTCACCCAGACTGGAGTGCAATGGTGCAATCATGGCTCAATGCAGCCTTGAACTCCTGGGCTCAAGTGATCCTCCCACCTCAGCCTCCCAAGAAGCTGGAACCACAGGTGTGTGCCAACATGCCCAGCTAATTTTTTCTTTAGTCAGGACGGAGTCTCACTATGCTGCCCAGGCTGGTCTTGAACTCCTGGCCTCAAGTGATTCTCTCACTTCAGCCTCCCAAAGTGCGGAATTACAGGCATAAGCCACCACCCTCACCCTAAACTTTTTCTTAAAGGGCCAGATAGTAAATATTTTTGGCTCTGTTGGCCATACTGTCTCAGTTACAACTACTCAACTCTGCCTGTTTTGGTGGGAAAGCAGCCAAAGATTATAATTCAATGAGTGGGTGTGGCTGAGTTCCAATAAAACTTTATTTACAAACACAGGCAGCTGGCTGGATTCAACCCACAGCTGTAGCATTTCCAAAAGGATACTGTATACACACAACACTGGTAACAGGAGTTGCTCTGCAGGGTAGAGTGGGAAAGGACTGAGGATTGGGGCCTGGGTAGGAGGAGGATTTACTTATCACTGAATATCTTTTAGTATCATTTGCATTTAGAAATGATTATACTACTTTTTCAGATGAAAACAGGCTGACTAGGAGGAGGGTACAGAGGTACTTATAGAGAGCAGCAAGAAGGTGGCCCAGGAAGTACTAGCCCAAGGCTCCAGGACAGGAAGGCTGGCAGAGCCCCTACGGCTGAGGCTGAGATACTGAGAACTGGTGGGGTCCGAGAGCCCACGTGCAATTTCCTAACACATCTTAATAAACCTTAAATGGAAGACATAATCATTGTATCCAATTTCATTCAAGAGAATTACCAAGAAGTTGGAGCCCAATTTAATTTTGTAGATTTCATCTGTACAGACCAATTGACAAAACTCTCCCCGGGGAATGACATCCCACCTTCCTCATTCACCTCCACTTAAATCCCTCTGTTTAAAGAACCACACCTTCACCACCACGAACTGTACTGCAGAATCCCACGCTCCAGCCACACCTCGTCTCTCCTCTGTGGGCTGCACCAGGCGCCTATCCTCAGCTCACTTCTCCTCTTGTGCATACTTGCCCCCATCTCTGGATTCCACCTTCCACACTGATGCCTTTCCACCTTCCAACACCTTTCCCTCCAGCCCTCGCCTCTTGCCCAAGCCTCAGAGGTGAACCTGCAGTTGCTGGATGGACACTGCCACTTGATATCCCCCAGGCACTCAGCCTCCACAAGTCCAAAACTAAACTTGAAACTGAACTCGACATCCGTACTTCACCTGTGTTTTCTGTCTCAATGGCGAGACCATCCCTCCACTCATGCATGGCCCATGCTTGAAACCAGAGTTACCCAACTCAACCATTTCCCTCACACCCATGTTAACACAACACCTCATAAATGTGCCTCAAATCCATCCCTTCTTCTCCATCCCCACTGCCAAGTCCAGACAGCATCTTTGCTGCATCAGCACCCAGGTCAAGAGACTCCTAGTCAGGCTCATGGCCCTGGGTCCCTTGTCAGGTCTCAGCTTTCTGCTCCTCCAAAGCACACCGAACAGGGTCCCATCACTCAGGCTCAAGGCCATGAGCCAGGGTTCTTGCCAGTTGTTCTAAAACCATGAAAAACTGTTCCCCCACCACCCCCGCCTGATGCACAACGCAACTCACTGCAACTCCAGAAGCCTGGGCATGTGTGTGGAATTGAGTGTTGTGGTACAATAGAAGGCTAATCAATCCCAAACGTGCGTGTGTGTGTGTGGTCACTGTCTTAATTCATGGTCACTAGGCATAAATAGTATGTAGCTTACAGAAATGGCTAGAATTAGAACGGGTGTAACCCAAAGTAAATTTTGGCTATTTCTTTTCTCACTTTATTGGTCCATGGAATCTCTAATTAACATTAATTAGCACTTCACCCTGACACCACAGTGGTAAAAAGATCTCACATTTTAAAGAGATTTACCAAGTCTCCCAGAGTTGTCATATCATTTAACTATCTTTACACTTATATAAAAAGACAAAGGCCAGCTGGCTGCCTTCTTACTCATTTCTACGGCTTCTTCTGCACCCAGACATCCCTGCCCTTCCTTAGAAGGCCTGGGGCACACACGTCCTGACTCCGGCCTGGGCTGGGAGAGTCTGAGCTGGGCAGGAGGCCATGGTTGCCTGCCCACAGATAGACAGAGGACATCCAGGGGAGGAAGAGGTTGGAGGCACCCAGTGAGAAGTCCTTTGGCCCCTGGCTCTGCGGCCCACATCTGAGAGTCAGGAACAAGAGTGAACTTCAAAGGAAGAAGGGTAGGAAAACGGGACAGCCCAGGCAACTTGCTTTCTCATGTACCTTCTTCCACCCAAGGCATCTTTAAGGGGGAGAGCTTGTCTGTCTTGGGGCCAGCCTTTGATATCCTTTGAAACGAGCAGCCTTCTCCAATGGCCAGAAATCACCTCCCCTTTTTTTTAAGTTCTGGGATAATGTGAAGAACATGCAGGTTTGTTACATAGTTATATGCGTGCCATGGTGGTTTGCTGCACCCATCAACCCGTCATCTGGGTTTTAAGCCCCGCATGCATAAGGTATTTGTCCTAATGCTCTCCCCGCTTACCCCCCACCCCTCAACAGGCCCTGGTGTGTGATATTCCTTTCCCTGTGTCTATGTGTTCTCATTGTTCAACTCCCACTTATGAGAACTGCAGTGTTTGGTTTTCTGTTCCTGTGTTAGTTTGCTGAGAATGATGGCTTCCAGCTTCATCCATGTCCCTGCAAAGGACATGAACTCATTCTTTTTTATGGCTGCACAGAAATCCTTTCAACTGAAAAGCATTCTTTTCCCCAAAGACGTTCGTAGGTGCAAAGCCACTTGGTATGGAGTTTCTGTCAGCTCCTAAAGGGGGGTGTTGGCCTCCTCCCAGCTGCAGTGGGCACTAATTAACAGTGAGGGGAATGGTGGCAGGAGGTTAGAGAGGCCCACGGGTCCCCAGCCTTGGCTCTGCTGGCTTTGGCTTCCTCTGAAAAGAACATTTGTGTGACACCCTTGGGCCCCTCCCATTGGGCTCTGCAGGGGGTACACCCCCAGAGCAGCACAGCCCCAGGGGACACAAGTTACAGGGGGTGGGGGTAGGCTGGCAGAGGCCCCAGACTTGGAGGAATGAGAACCAGCTCCTGAGTTCTGACCAGGTCTGACCAGAGTCAGCTGGGCTGAGGCTGGCTGTCACGTTGGTTTCTAGGAAACCAGACTAGCAATGTCACCTTCTGCAAACACCACACCCAGCACTTTCCCTCTTAAAGGCTTATGGGCAGGAAGTAGGCAGGTGTTTTGCTGCCAGGAAGTTAGTCTTACAATGACATTACAAATAATGCCCCACCCATGGGAGAAGCAGTATTTCCACTTCTACCCGTCCAGGTAGACAGGGAGGTCCGACATGCTGTGGAGTTTATTGCCACATAGGCACAGGTTCCTAGTGATGACAGAAATGAAAAAGCTGTAGCAAGGTTTGGTGGCCATAACTCAGGTGAAGTATGGCCTAAAATAATTCAGTAAAAACCTGCTCCTCACTAAAGTCCCAATAGGGATGTGGAACGAAGCGTTTCCCTCAAACCATGTTCTTCTCCCAGCTCTCCCAGACATTGTTGGAGCCTGCAAGGAAGCAGCAGGGGCACAGAGGTGGAGCCCAGCGACGTGGACAGGACTGCATTCAGGGACACCGCAGCGACGTGGACATGGCCGCATTCAGGGACACCGCGGCGACGTGGACATGACCACATTCAGGGACATTCCAGCTAGGTGGGCACAACCACATTCAGGGCTAAATGGCTACAACTGTTAGCGGCTCTTCAACTAACTCTTCTTA